TGAGGGGCGGCGTGCTGCCGCCCCTCGACGCAGGGAATGCACGTAGGGGCATGCCCCGGAGGGAGGGGAGGGAGGGACCGGGGGAGACCAGAGACGAGGACACAGGAGGCCATGCGTCGGAGACGAGGACGGGAGGGGTGACCAAGGCGGTGGTGCCTAAGGAGAGTCTGGTAGGACAGGAGACGACACGAGCAGGGAGCAGACTCAGGACCAGACCTGGACGCTGCAGCAAACACCTAACTCGACGCAGCTACCTGACAGAACTCAGCAACCGGAGGAGACTCAGTAGTCAGTGTGTACAGGCTCGACCGCGGCCGACGGGTAAACATGGCCAAATGTCGGCCCGTCTGAGCATACGTACAATGGGTCACCCGCTGACTCGCAGGAGTGAACTGGTCAACCCCCCTATCTTGTAGATCAGCTCCTCTCACCAAGTTCGTAGAGAACGAGGGGAGGTAGAGACTTGACAGGGTGCCAGAGGGGACTGCCGGACACGGTAAGACAGTGGAGAAGCTAGCAAGGAAAGGATCTTTAGAGGTGTCCGCGAGGGAGATCGCAACCGGCCGACTAAGCGGCGTAAGCGTGGTGCGGTCTCGAAAGAAGGAGCGAGAAGCATCCGAGTCAAGGGTAAAGGTGTGTAAGGCCTGAGTCGAAGTGGTACCTGAGAGAGCAGACTCACCAGCTCCTGGGGCAGCAGACGCACTAGCACCTAGAGCAGCAGCCTCACCAGCACCTAGAGCAGCAGCCTCAATGCTCGGGTCAGGCAGAACACACAGGTAACAGTCACCCTCATCACTAGTAGACACAACATACATGGCAGCAAGAATAGCATCATAATCCAGATCAAAGATAGCAACTTCCGCCCTAGACTTTCTCCCCAGCGAGGGATCTCAATGGCGTCAGGGAACTGGTGACGCCAAGCGTCCGTCAGGCGGCCGAAGTAGCGCTGGGTGGAGTGCGGGCCCCCGCACTGCTCACCAGCGCGGTCACTGGTACAGAGGACGTAGGTGCAGGGACTAGTACCCCCACCTCGTTGACGCCTAGCGTACCACTCACGAAGCTGCTGGGGAGACGGGGTCTCAAGAGTGCGCTGCTGCTGCTGGCGCGGACCACCACAGGAACCACTCCTTTGTGCAGAGCCGCGACCAGCTCCACCGCTGCCGCTGCCGCCTCCGCCACCTCCGCCGCCTCCGCCACCTCCACCACCTCCGTTGCCTCCGCTCCCTCCGCCACCGCCGCCACCTCCTTCACCTCCACTGCTGCCACCGACACCTCCACCCCCGCCACCACTCCCACCACCACCCCCACCCCCTCCACTGCCTCCACCACCACCTCCACCGGCTCCGCCAGCCCCTCTAGCGCCCTTGCCCCCCTTGCCCTTGCCGGTGCGGCGTCTCCCGTTAGGGCCAGACGCAGCGCCGACCGACTCAAAGCCAACGAGGTCGGCTGCAGCAGCAGAAGCAACAGAGGGCAAGAGGGGGGAGGGGTAACACCCCTCAAAGACGAGGGTGTGAAGGTCACCACGAGAGGCTCCTATAGCGACTATGCCCTTCTCTGCTGCTAGGAGGCGCTCCTCGAGGAGGTCAACGGTGAGTGTGGTGGGGCAAACTGAGAGGAAGTGGTCCCTGACTAAGCGAAGGGAGTCAGGGAGCCGGGTGACTATGTAGTAGAGGGTGATGTACATGGGGGGGAGGTTCTTGGCACAGAAGTCAGCAGGAAGCGCAGCGCGGTAGCGAGTGTCACTAGTGCGGAGGTGCGTAATGAGGTCAGCGACTGTGGGAAAGGCAGCAAGGTCAGGGAACAGGTACGGCAGCATGAGGCGGCTAAGAGCAACAGTGGCAGGGGAAGAGTAGCATGCAACTACAGCGTCGAACAAGGTCTTAGCACTCTTGTACTGACTAAAGTGCGCACTCTTAGTGGTCGGTAAGTGGCGACGCACAGCAAGACGGGCAGCAGCATCGCGTGTGGCCCACTGTGAGCGAACAGTGCTGTCAGCATCAGTAGGCGGGGCAGGAGAGGCACCAGAGGTGAGATCGAACAAGGAGAGTGTGTCTGCCCTATCGTACTGCAGGAAAAGCTGGAGGTCATCGACCCAGACCTCAAAGTCAATAGCACGACCCTCAGCATCAAAGGTAAGGACACTGGGGGTAGCCATGAAAGCAGTGGTCTAGTAGGGAGTGATCTCACCAGTCCGAGTGAGCAGGGCCAGGGCGCGCCGGTAGGAATAGGGCTGTAACCGAGGTGGCAGCGGCTCCGCAGTGAAAGGAGCGGCTCGACGGCAAGGCGGCTCGGTGGCTCGGCTGCTGGGCGGCTCGGTGGCTCGGCGGCTCGGCGGCCAGGCTGCTGGGCGGCTCGGATGTTGGGCGGCTCGGTGGCTCGGCGGCTCGGCTGCTTGGCTGCTGGGTGGCTCGGCTTCTCGGCTGCTGGGCGGCTCAGCGGTGAAGGGGCCGTGAAGGGCGGCGACGGGGCCGGTAGAGGCGGCGACGGGGCTGGTAGAGGCGGTGACGGGGCCGCGAAGGGCGGTGACGGGGGCCCCTACAGGCGGCGACGGGGCCGCGAATAGCGGCGACGGGGCCGCTAGGGGCGGCGACGGGGCTGCAAAGGGTGGCGATGTGGCCGCGAGGGGCGGAGACGGGGGCGATACGGGCGGCGACGGGGCCGTGAAGGGGCCGCGAGGGGCCTAGAGGGGCGGCGACGGGGCCTGGAGGGGCGGCGACGGGGCCGCGAAGGGGCCGCGAGGGGACTAGAGGGGCGGCGACGGGGCCTAGAGGGGCAGCGACGAGGCCGCGAAGGGGCCGTGAGGGGCCTAGAGGAGCGGCGATGGGGCCGCAAAGGACGGCGACGGGGCCGTAAGGGGTGGCGACGGGGTCGCTAAGGGTGGCGCGAGGGGCCTCTAGGAGGGCGCGACGTGAGGGCGGCCTACGGGGCGCGCCTCGAGCAGGAAAAAAGAAAGGTCGAGTTCAGTGGTGGGCCCTGAGAAGCGTTTCCACGAGGGAACCTGCTCTATACCATGTGAAGAATGAGGAATGAATGCTCTAGCAAGCAGGTGGGTACGAGTAGGAAAACCTAAAAATGTTGTACCCCATATTGTCTACCCCACTACAGCCTATACAGACTATAGCATATAAGTTTGTCAAATAACAGGTGGTAGGTTGGTAAACAACCTCTGGTTCTGTTTTTCCAACCTGGGAAAACAACAACCAGGTTCAGGTTCTAAAAACAAAACCTGTTTTGTCTTTGCCCAACCAGCCAAATGCTGGTTCTGCTGGTTTCCTCTGGCTTTCTAGCATGCAGATACAAACAAAAAACATCCAACCTATACATAAATTGTACCCCTATAGTGCCTGCCTTGCTACACTATAGTCAACCAAACAAAACAGTACAATTTCAAGTTGGATGAAACTGAATCTGCGCAATCAATTAACTGAACTGCAAAGCTTCCATCTTGGGTTCCTTTGCGAGCTCGAACTTTCTGCTTGCGCTGTTCATAATGCATATAATGTTGTGCCGAACGCACATTTCGCGAGTACCTGCAAATGCTTCAAGCAAAAAATGCGGAAACACACAAACATACAAACACACCATTCACACGCATATGCATTCGCATACGCATACTCGTACAAACAGACGGCAAAATGCCGTGCAAAGTGAATCTGCACCCAACAAGTAACGAATTTACTCTTAGTGCCAGTCATATCGCTAAATAACGCACTTACTCCAAGTACCACTCATATGGCTTATTGACGCAATTTCTCTTAGTATCACTCATATCGCTAAGTAATGCACATACACTTTGTACCACTCATATCACAAAGCATCGCACTTACTCTTAGTACCACTCATATGGCTAAGTAACGCACCTACTCTTAGTACCATTCATATGGCTAAATATTGCACTTATACTTAGTACCACCCATATGGCTAAGTAACGCACTTATTCTTAGTACCACCTATATGGCTTAGTAACGCATTTACTCTAAGTACCACTCATATGGTTAAGTAACGCACTTATTGTTAGCACCACCTATATGGCTAAGTAACGCACTTATTCTTAGTACCAGTCGTATGGCTAAGTATTGCACTTACTCTTAGTACCACTCATATGCCTAAATAGTGCGCATACTTTTAGTACCACTCATATGGCTAAATAACGCACTTACGCGTAGTATCACTCATAAGGCTAAGTGACGAACTTTCTGTAAGACCCACTCATATTTCTAAGAACATACTCTTAGTACCACTCGTATGGCTAAATGACGCACTTTCTCTTAGTACCACTCACATGGCTAAATAACGCACTTTATCATAGTACAATACATAGTACTAAGTGTTGCACATACTATTAGTACCACTCATAGCACAACTCTTAGAATCACTCATATCAGTAAGTAACGCACTTACTCTCAGCACCACTCATATGGCTAAGTAACGCACTCAACAGGAGCTGTGGAAGGCCCCGTTCTTGCTTTGGCGGAGCCGACCTTCTGGTCGGACGTATGGGGGAGTGTGTGAGGATCTAGGATTGAGCTCAAAAAGGAGAATGTGAATTGATTGATTCACCTGGGTACAACACGAGGCTATATATAGTCTCGCCACAAGGCCAGTTACCCAAGTGTTACGCGAATGTTCTGAGGGTCGCGAAGCGTCCCGAACAGATGAGAAGAAGTGAACGAGAATGAATGAACTATGAACGAGGTGAGTACAAATAGGAAACCCTAATTGGGTTGTACCCCCTATGGGATACCCCACTATAGCCTACACAAATAAGTAAGCTATGATGTTCTGACACACCCCCATAGGCAAAGTGGGGGAGAACAAGGGGTCACAAGACCAGTCAAGCAAAGCAAAGCAAAGCTCAGGGTGGATCACAAAGTCACCACACATTCCGAGCACAAGTTCAAAGGCCAGAAGGCCAGTTCACATGCAAGATCATATATAGAGATATACAAGAGGCAAGCAAGCAAGAGCAAGAGTATATATAGGTAAAAGTACAAGCAAGGTCAAGAAGTGAGCAAGTGAGGCAAGGCAGGCACAAGGCCCAGCTGCGTGCAGCAGCGCTGATGATCACAAGGCGCAAGTGCCTTGGTGAAGACATCAGCAGTGTTGGCCTCAGAGGCCACGTACGCAAGTCGCAACTGTCCACGCTGCTGTAGCTCACGAGCAAGAAAGTAACGGAGAGCAATGTGCTTTGTCCTGTGCTCCAGTCGCTGCTCTCGACACAAGGCCAACATGGCCTTGTTGTCTACGTACAGAACAAGAGGAGAACGAGGCGGCTCTCCAAGGTCGGTCAGCAGGTAGGTGAGCCAGCGTAACTCCTGTGCAGCCATGGCCCCGGCGTAGATCTCAGCCTCACAACTGGAGCCGAGAACAGAAGACGAGCGGGTAGCCCGCCACGAAACAGAGCCGGAACCAAGACTGAAGGTGTAACCCTGTGACGACCGCTGCGTAGCCTGGTCGTCAGCCCAAGAAGCGTCTGCGTGCCCAGTGAGGACCACTGGACTGCGCCCTCCAAGCACTAGCCCCATGCCCGACGTACTGCACAAGTAGCGCAACACCCTCTTCGGTGCAGCCATGTGCTCTGGTCGGTGTCTCCCAGGAGCAACATAGTGTGCAAGAGTGCTCAGAGGGTATGCAAGGTCAGGTCGTGTGCAGGTCATCAGGTACATGAGGCAGCCAACAAGCTCTGCATATGGGCCACTCGACTCTACGGACTCATCCGAAGGCAGAGCTGAGAGTGAGTGGCGAGTAGGCCGAGGAGAAGCCTAAGGCGAGGAGTACGTGAAGCCGAAGCGCTGAAGGACCTGCTGCACCATGTGTGACTGAGTCAGGGTAATGGTGCGGCGTGCTCTGTCCCGGGTGATCTGCAAGCCAAGGTAGCTGCGCAGTTCACCCAGGTCAGTGCACGTGTGTCTCTTCTGCAGCTCAGACTTCACGTAGGCGAGTCCAGCAGTGTCAGCTGTGGCAAAAACCAAGTCGTCGACGTACACGAGGATGTAGAACGGCGGCAGAGAGGTGTCGGTGCGCAGAAACAGCGACGGGTCTGCAGTGGAGGGAGCAAACCCAAGTGCCGCCAGCGTAGTCCTCAGTGTGTCGTGCCACTCACGGGGCGCCTGGCGGAGACCGTAGACTGGACGCCGGAGACTCCACTACGTACCAGGAGGGAAAGACCCAGTGAAGCCAGGTGGGCGACGCAGCCAGATCTCCTCGTGCAGGCTGCCCTGCAAGAAAGCAGTGCTGAAGTCGAGACAGTGCAGCTCGTAGTCACGATGAGCAGCAACGTGCAGCAGTACCCAAAGAGTGGTCATCTTCGGGGTGGGGGAGAAGGTCTGAAAGTAGTCAACTCCCTGCCGCTGACTGAAACCACGAGCCACGTACCGCGCCTTGAAGACAGGCGGAGAACCCGGCGGCCGCTTCACCCTGAAAATCCACATGCCACTGACGATGTTCGCCCCATGAGGGGGAACAGCGTCAACGTAGGTGCCTGTGGACTTCCAGGAAGCCATCTCTGCATCCATAGCTGCCTGCCACTGAGAGGAGTAGGGACCCTCTATCGCCTCCGCGTAAGAGCGCGGAGTCGGGATGTCTAGTGCATCCGGGTCTCCCTCAGGGGCTAGCAGTACAGACGCGAGATAAGGTGAAGCGGCGGCCAGACATTGGAACTCCTCCTGCCTGTCCTCAAGGACGTCCGTGCCAAGGGCACACTCACCCCCGACGGACGGAGGACAGGTAGACTCAGACTCAGCGACAAGACCAGCAGCGTAGTCTAGACGACAGCGCGCAGCAAAGCCGACGAGCTCAGTGACAAGGGCAGACGCAGCAGAAGACTCGAAAGAAGGGTCAGTGACAGCAGTAGCAAGGAGACGCGTGACAGTAGGACTCGCAGCTCGAAGAGAGTCCGACTCCGGGTCGGCAAGAGCAGGAAGAGAGGAAGAAGGAGGAGAAGGCAAAGGGGCACGTAGAGGAGCAGTGGACGGACGCAGAGACATCCGGTGCGTGCCAGGGACAGGAGGCGGACGCTGACGCGAACCGCGACCACTAGTGCGCGCAGTACGAACAGGCGATGCAGGACGAGACGCAGGCTCACGACGCTCACTAAGACCTCCAGTCGGACCAGCGTAGGGAGAAGGAGCAGGCAAAGGGGAGGCAGGTTGTAGCTGTGACTGGACAGGCTGTGGACCCTCTAAGGGAGGAGGAGGAGGACCAGGAGAAGGTGGAAGGCCAAGAACCTGCTGCAGGAGCAGTACGAAGTACGGTCGGGGCCGCGTGGCGACGCTAGAAACAGCAGGGACAGCACCAGTACCCCCAACAGGAGTACCCGCTCCAGCAGCACCTCCAGCAGCACCTCCAGTAGCTCCAGAACCCCCAGCAGCTCCTCCAGTAGCCCCAGAACCTCCAGCAGCACCAGGAGCACCGCCAGTCGAACCACCAGTGGTAGTCTCAGCGCCAACACCCTCAGCAGCACCAGCTCCAGGCGAACCTGCAGGCCCAGCAGCTCCAGTACTCCCAGTACGAGCACCTCCGGGACCCGTGGCAGCAGCACCCTCAGCAGCAGAAGAACCTCCAGCACTAGCAGCACGCCTCCAGCGCCGAGCAAACCACTCACGCAGCTCCTGTGAGGAGAGTGGCTCTCGGCGAGACGAAGCACCTGGAGAACCTCCAGGCGAAGAAACTCCAGGCTCAGCACCCCCAGGCAAAGCACCTCCAGGCGTAGCACCCCCAGGCTCACCACCCCCAGGCTCAGCACCCCCAGGCTCAGCACCCCCAGACTCAGCACCCCGAGGCTCAGCACCCCCAGGCTCAGCACCCCTAGGCTCAGCACCCCCAGGCTCAGCACCCCTAGACTCAGCACCCCCAGACCCCGCACCCCCAGGCTCAGCACCCCCAGGCACAGCACCCCCAGGCTCAGCACCCACAGCAGCACCAGAGTCACCAGTGACCTTGACAGGCTCGACCGCGTCTACCTGGGACACACCTGAAGGGGCAGGACCCTGAGGGGGGAGGGGGTCTACCGGGGGGGGACCTGGTACCAAGAAGAGCGGGGGTGGGGGGAGGGACGGAGTGCGCTAGGGGAAGAGGCAGTAGTAGGGTACCGACTCGTCGAACGTGACGTCCTGGGAGGACAGAACACGGCGAGAGGTGGGGTGGTAGAACTGCCACCCAGGGGCGTCGGGGGGGGACCCCAGGAAGACGCAGGGAGCAGCGCGAGGGGACAGCTTGTCCACAGACAAGTCGCGGACAAACGCCCGAGATCCCCAGACCCGGAACGCCGACGCATCGCCAACCTTCCCCGTCCACAGCAGGGCTGGGGAGGTCTCCGGCCTGGAGACCCTGGGGTGGAGGTTGATCTGATGCGCCGCATACCTGACAGCAAACGGCCACAGAAAATGGGGGGCAGCCGCATGCATCATAGACGTACGAGCGACGTCCATGACCATGCCAATGCGGTGCTCTGCAATCCCATTTTGCTGCGGTGAGTCCGGAAGCGTGAAGATATGGCGGATGCCTCGCGCACGACAGTAGGCACGCAGAAGGCCAGAGGAGAACTCTCCGCCTCTGTCCGAGTGCAGACGCAACACAGGAAAGTCCGAGCCAAAGCTCTGCCTGAGCTGGAGACGAGCTGCGCGGATCCAGTCGATCAGCACCTCAGTGACATCACCCTTGCTGCGCAAGGGGAAGACTGTGCTGAAACGCGAGTAGTCGTCAACCACCAACAGGAAGTAGCGCTCGTGACCGAGTCCACGGACGAGGGCAGGGCCCCACACGTCCATGTGAAGCGTCTGCAACAGAGCCTCTGTTGGAGGAAACTGGGAGGAGTGAGGGGCAGCACGCTGGCGCCCCTCGACACAGGGGACACAGGCAGGGCCAGGGCCCTGAGGAAGGGGAGGGAGGGACCGGGGGAGACCAGACACAAGAAGACGGGAGGCCATGCCTCTGAGCCGAAGCAGAGAGGGGTGGCCAAGGCGGTGGTGCCAGAGGAGGGTCTCGTGAGACAGACGGCGACACGAACAGGGGGCAGACTCAGGACCAGACCTGGACGCTGCAGCAAACACCTGGCCAGACTAAGGGACTCTACCAGACTCAGTACCTGGAGGAGAAGCAGTGGTCAGTGTGTACAGGCTCGACCCTGGCTGACGTGTAAACGTAGCCCGGTGGCGACCTGTGCTAGCCCTGTGCAGTGTGTCACCCGCTGACGAGCAGGAGTAAACTGGTGAACACCCGCATCCTGTAGGTCAGCACCACTCACCAGGTTCGTAGAGAACGAGGGGAAGTAGAGACCAGACAGGGTGCCAGAGGGAGCCGCCGGACACGGGAGGACTGTGGAGAAACGAGACAGGACAGGACCCCCAGAGGGGTCAGCCAGGGACACCGCAACCGGCCGACTAAGCGGCGTGAGAGTGGTGCGGTCCCGAAAGAAGGAGCGAGACGCCCCAGATTCAAGGGTGAAGGTGTGAGAGGTCGAAGCCGACACAGTACCTGAGAGTGCAGACTCACTAGTACCTGAGAGCACAGACGCACTGGCACCAAGAGCAGCAGCCTCACTGGCACCTAGCGCAACAGTACCAATGCCCGGGTCGGGCGGGAAACACCGGTAACAGTCACCCTCATCACTAACAGTCACAGCATACATGGCAGCAAGGATAGCATCAAAGTCAAGATAAAAGATAGCTACACCAGCCCTAGACAGCTCTCCCCAGCAGGGGATCTCAGAGGCCTCCGGAAACTGCTGGCGCCAAGCGTCGGTCAGGCGGGCAAAGCAGCGGCGGGCGGCGTGGGTGCCCCCACACTGCTCACCCGCGCGGTCGCCGGTGCGAAGGACGTAGGTGCAGGGACCGAACGCCCCACCACGCTGACGCTGCGAGTACCACTCACGGAGCTGCTGAGGGGCGGGGACGTCGCGAGAGCGCTGCTGCTGCTGCTGCTGGCGCTGACCACCCCCAGTGCTGCTCCGCTGGGACGAGCCACTCCGACCACCTCCACCACCGCCACCCCCGCCTCCGCCGCCACCGCCACCCTCACCCCCGCCGCTCCCACCGCCACCTCCGCCGCCACCTCCGCCGCCACCTCCACCTCCACTGCCGCCACTAGTACCTCCACCCCCGCCACCACCTCCACCGCCACCCCTACTCCCCCCGCCGCCCCCACCTCCTCCGCCACCGCCCCCGCTAGTTCCACCCGCTCCCTTGCCCCCCTTGCCCTTGCCAGAGCGGCGCCTACCGCTGGGGGCAGACGCCGCACCGACCGACTCTAGACCAACGAGGTCGGCCACAGCAGCAGAGGCGACAGAGGGTAACAGTGGGGAAGGGGAACACCCATCAAAGATGGGGGTGCGGGGGTCACCACGAGAGGCCCCTACAGCGACTATGCTCTTCTCGGCCGCTAGCAGGGACTTCACAAGGAGGTCGACAGTGAGGGTGGTGGGACTGACAGAGAGAAACTGGTCCCTAACCGCACGAAGGGACTCAGGGAGACGGGTGACTAGAAAGTAGAGGGTGATGTACATGGGAGGGGGGTTTTCGGCGCAAAAGGCAGCAGGAAACGCAGCTCGGTAGCGAGTGTCACTTGCGCAAAGGTGGGTAAAGAGGTCAGCGACTGTGGGAAAGGCAGCAAGGTCAGGGAAGAGGTACGGTAGCATGAGGCGGCTCAGTGTAGCAGTGGAAGGGGAGGAGTAGCGCGCAACGACAGCGTCGTACAAGGCCTGAGCACTCTTGCACTGACTAAAGTGTGCACGCTCGGAGGAAGGGAGGTGGCGACGCACAGCAAGACGTGTACCAGCATCGCGTGTGGCCCACTTGGAGCGAACAGTGGGGTTAGCATCAGCAGGAGGGGCAGGGACAGCGCCAGAGGCAAAGTCAAAGAGAGAGATGTCATCTACTGAATCGCACTGCAAGTACAGCTGCAGGTCCTCGACCCAGACCGCAAAGTCAATGGCGCGACCCTCAGCGTCAAAGGCCAGGACACTAGGGGTGGCCATGATAGCCGCCGACAGTCTCACCAGAGAGGAAGGGTCGAGCAGCTCAGCAGGACAGCAACACGGCAGCTCAGCAACTCCGCCGGCCCTGGAGTAGCAGCAGCCCCACAGGACCCGGCGCTCGGCACCGCAGGCGGCTCGGGCGGCTCGGGCGGCTCGGGCGGCTCGGGCGGCTCGGCCGTTCAGCGGCTCGGGCGGCTCGGGCGGCTCGGGCGACTCGGGCGGCTCGGGCGTTCAGCGGCACGGGCGACTCGGGCGGCTCTGCTGCTCGGGCGGCTCGCGCGGCTCGGGTGACGCGGGTGACACGGGCGGCTAAACGGGCGGCTGCACGGGCGGCTGCATGGGCGGCTGTACGGGCGGCTGCACGGGCGGCTGCACGGGCGACTCACGGGCGTCCGAGGGCGGCTGCACAGGCGGCACGTCGGGCGGCTGAGGGCGGCTGACGGGCGGCGCACTGGCAGCTCACGGGCGGTTGTACGGGCGGCGCGTCGAACAGCCGCGGGCGGCTGACGGGCGGCGGACGGGTGGCGCACGTGCAGTGCACGTGCAGCTCACAGGCAGCCGAGGGCGGCGCACGGGCGACGCGTCGGGCGGGTAGCGGGCGGCGCACGGGCGGCTCACGAGCTGCAGAGGGCGGCGCACGGGCGGCGAGTCGAGCGGCTGAGGGCGGCTGACGGGCGGCTCTGGGCGGCGCACGTGCGGCTCACGCGAGCTGCGCGCGGGCTGCGCAGGGCAGCGCGCGGGCGCTAGGGCGCTAGGGCGCTAGGGCGGCGAGCGGAGCGCGGGCGCTAGGGCGGCGCGCGGGCTGCTAAGGGCGGCTCGCGGGCTGCTAATAGCGGCGCTCAGGCTCTAGGGCGAGCGGCGCGCTAGCGGCTCGGGCGGCGCGCTGGCGGCGAAGGGCCGGTCAAGAGAAAGAAGAGAGCCCGGAGCGCGCTCCGGGCAGAAAAAAAAGTTTGAGGTAGTGGTGGTGGGCCCTAAGCACAGTTCCCACAGGGAACCTGCTCTAATACCATGAGAAGAAGTGAACGAGAATGAATGAACTATGAACGAGGTGAGTACAAATCGGAAACCCTAATTGGGTTGTACCCCCTATGGGATACCCCACTATAGTTTACACAAATAAGTAAGCTATAATGTTCTGACAATAGAACCTTCCCGAACTCAGTAGAAAGCAATTCGGTGGGAACTGAAAAGGCTTGAGTTCGGTACACGTAACCTGGTTCGGTGCTATAGCTATAATAAAATACAAGAATGCACCTCACCTAGGAAATCAAGCATATCTGTGCATGATAAAATAAACCCAAGCTAGATATAGCATAATAAAGTCTAGGCAAGCTAGCAAAGGCAGCATAAGCCGTCGTACTCTCACACGTCCCCCCCTCAAAGCTGGGTGGCGTGAGATACACCCTGCTTGACAAGATAGTCCTTGAGAGCACAGCGTGCGTTGCCCATATCAGCTTCTGCGACCCAACTGTCCTCAAAGGGGTCATATCCCTTCCAGTGTATCAGGATCTCGAGGGTCTTGCCGCCGCGGTGTCGATGAGAGAGAACGCGCTCCACTTCATACTCAGGTTCATCTTGGATGAGAACAGGTGGTGGTGGCGGTAGCTGCCGTCCCTGGAACTGTTGGTTGGGGTCCTTGTAGGGTTTAAGTAGCTGAACATGGAAAGCGTTGTGCAGCTTCCATGTATCTGGTAAGCGCAAGCGGAATGTAACTGGTGTCACCTGTGCCTCGACGAGAAAAGGACCACAGAAGCGAGGCCGGAGTTTGGATGGGAGGTGAGACAGGTTCAAGTTGCGCGTGTCAAGAAGCACATGATCTCCGACTGCTACTGAGTGATCTCGTCGCTGACGATCGGCATACTGCTTCTGGGAGGTCTACATCGTGGTGAGTCGTTGCTGAGTCTTCTCCCATAGCTGTTGCATGGTGGTGACGAAATCATGTGCGGCTTGGACGTGTGCTGGTGTGGTTGGCTGCTATGGGGTAAGTGGTTTCCGTCCGTAACACAAGAAGAAAGGAGTTTTCCCTGTGGCCGCATGTGATGCATTTTTTTAAGCGAACTCTAGGGTTGGTAACTGTGTGTCCCAGTGGCTGACGTCGTCTTTGCAAGCTGTGCGCAATAACTGTTCAACCACTTGATTGAGTCGCTCGGTCTGTCCATCTGTCTGTGGGTGGTATGCTGAGGACATCGCAAGTCTAGTCCCCAATAATCCCATGAGCTCCTTCCAGAACTTACTCGTGAATTTGGGGTCTCTGTCTGAGATGAGTGTAGCGGGGATGCCGTGGATGGTGATGATGCGGTCGAAGAAGAGGCGAGCAGTTGCTTCAGCTGTAGCTGTGGCGTTGGTCGGTATGAAGTGACCCATTTTTGAGAACTTATCGATCACTACGAGGATGGAATCATGCCCCCGTGAGGTCGAAGGAAGTCCTGTGATGAAGTCGAGGCTAACGACCTGCCATGGCTG